ACGCAACTGCGATCATCAGATGTCACAACAACAAAAAAATAACGACAAAAATTATATACAAAAAAGGCTATGGAGTGTCCACTTTGATGACATTAAAGTTCTTTATTAGAAATTTATTTTCATGGCGGCATTTTGATGCAAGCTCGATTCGTTTGTTAAGCAAATTTAATGGTGACGTAATAATGTGGTATTTTTCTGTCAAGCATAAATTGCAAAATTTACCACCAGGTTTGAATGGCTCAGCTTGATCAAGAATATTCCATTTTAATATAGGTTCTATACCTTTAATTTTGCATTCCCACACAAATTTCGAAAGTTCAGTGGATTTGGCCTTACTTTCAAAAAAAAAGGAGTTTTTATGCTTATAGGGTAAAGGGGGCAAAATGAGACAGCGGGGCAATACGAGACAGTTCGCGTTTAACATGATGCCAGGCCTACAAATTATTATTTGCAAGGTTTTTAAAAGTGCAGTTGTGTTTAAAAACTATTTTGTGTCAAGAAAAATATATTGAGTCACTTTGAAATAAAAAAGTTGAGTAAAAAGGGAATCATTTCATCCCTTGGCTTCGCGAAAATTACGAATTTTTAAGTGTTATTATTATATTTTTTCCTAGCCTTTTTTGATCTCACTGAGTGGAAAAGCTTTTTATATTTAAAGTTTTTTTTTTTAATTAGTGTTTTTAGGCCTTTTCCTTTCATTTCCATTCTTTGGTATTTTATTTCTTCAATAAAATAGTCTGGAAATTAGGCTATTCGATGCCAGCATGATGTGGGGCAAAACGAGACACTCTGTTTGTATTTTTTTTTTTTTTGCCGATATCTAATATTATGTTTATTAAATTTTTTACATTAAAACAACAAACAAAGCAAATATTAATATTTACATGCTGTAGATTTAAATTTATTATACTGTATGTACTTACTTTTGATTTTGTTAATTGAAATGTTTAGTTGTTATCCAATATAGAATTACGTTTTATATTTTGTTAACTTGTATTTAAATATAATAAATATTTAATCAAATTGAAGCAAATAATTGCCTGATGTTTATAATTATGTTTATAATTAAAAATGTTTGTACTTTATAATCTTATTGTATTGCAATGTAATAAAGTAAGTAGTATATAAAATAGTGGAGTCAATGTTCAAAATGCACAACCTGGGCTCATTCGGATTGTTGTTCGTTTCAAAATACTGGTCAAGCAATATGTGACATATGTGACTAGTGACAGTTTGATTATAGCTGTAATATATTATAAAATGTATTTCTTGCTAATCCTCTTAAAGATCTGTTTTGTTTAACTTTATTTATTTAAATTACTAAAAAAAAAATCTGTCTCATATAGGATAGGTGCTGTCAATAAATGATCTCTGGTGACCAAACTACTGCAGTTTTGCAACTCATACTTTTTAAGCTTCAAGTAGGATGGTAGAAGAATTGAAAAATATCAATTTATTTTTTCAAAAGTTGTTAGATGGGCCGTATTAGATATTTTAGCGCTTAAGTATCTCATTTTGCTCCTCGTTACGCTACCACCTGTCTTTGAACGTTTTCTCAGTAAGCCCAACGTACTAATATTCTTCCTCTTCCTGAAGAGTTTTTACATTGCAAATATAAATAAGATTTTTTGTAAGGCATTTTGCATTGAATGGGCATAAGGTGGTTTGTCGACAATTGCATAATTGATTGGCATTTTCATGAGAACTAAATAATATCTTTTTTTTATGAAAAGTAATAATACTCTTGATGTTTGGAAAGCAGCTATAACTAACCTTAAAGTTGTTTCGATTAAAAAGTTTGTGAAATTTTTGGCCTTTCGGGAAACATTTATCAATTGTACTCAAAAATGTTTTGGATACGTTTGTTCTGACGTTGAGTGAATAAGGTGGGTTAAACAAGATAATGTTTCTTTTTCAAGATTTTGTTTTATATTTCTGGATATTTGGAATGAAATTGATCTTATCTTTGAATCCACAAGAATTTAGAGCGTTATTATAAAATGGTATGGCTCTATCAAAAGCTTCTTTGCTTGAAGATATACTGCTGATGTGGTTAGAGATCATTTTTGGTATCGATTTAATAATGCTTAATGGATGATTGGAATTGATGTTAATATATATAAGATTATCTCCTGGTTTTCTATAAGGTTTAAAAGAGTTCTCAGAAAGGTTAAATGAGATATCAAGAAAATTTACGGTTTTTAAGTTTGGTTTGATAGTGATGTTAAGATTTAAATTGTCTTTAAAAATTTTTATTAGATTTTTTTTTATTTTTTCCGATTGAGGACTACTGATATTATAGAAGCAACAAAGACCATCATCTCTATATAGACCGGGAGTATTAAGACCATATTCTTTAGCAATCGTGTATAAGATATAGAGGCTAACGTCAGAACAAACGTATCCAAAACATTTTTGAGTACAATTGATAAATGTTTCCCGAAAGGCCAAAAATTTCACAAACTTTTTTTCAATCGAAACAACTTAAAGGTTAGTTATAGATGCTTTCCAAACATCAAGAGTATTATTAATTCTTAAAATAAAAATTTTTTATTTAGTTCTCATGAAAATGCCAATCAATTATGCAATTGTCGACAAACCACCTTATGCCCACTCAATGGAAAATGCCTTACAAAAAATCTTATTTTATATTTGCAATGCAAAAACTCACCAGGAAGAAGAAGGATATTATTGCGTTGGGCTTACTGAGAAAATGTTCAAAGACAGGTTCAAAGATAAGCATAAAAACTCCTTTGTTTATGAAAGTAAGGCCAACTCCACTGAACTTTCGAAATTTGTGTGGGTATGCAAAATTAAAGGTATAGAACCTATATTAAAATGGAATATTCTTGATCAAGCTGAGCCATTCAAACCTGGTGGTAAATTTTGCAACATATATATATATATATATATATATATATATATATATATATATATATATATATATATATATATATATATATATATATATATATATATATATATATATATATATATATATATATATATATATATATATATATAGCATCCTAATTGGCGACCTTTGGGGACATCTTATTTTGGTACCCGTTCTGTTTGTTTTTTTTACTTTTTTTTATACTATTTTTATCATATTTGTACATTTTTTTTAATTTTAATTTTATTTCTATTTTTATTTATACATATTTAAATTCATTATTTTATTATAAAAATATATTTTTTATATTACTTTTGTTATTTTTATTTTTTTATTTTATATTATATTTCATTTTTAACTTCATCTATTTACAAAAACGATTAATTACAATAGTAAAACCAAATTTAAACCTTGCCGTAACCCTAACCCTAAGCCTTTGATGCCTGGCCAAACCAAACCTCAGTCGATGTAGCAGCACTCCCTTACGAGTCAGGCTATTTGTCAGTTGATGTATGTACTTTTCGTTCTCTATAAAAGTTTCTCACGGGTACATTTGTTTACAAAAAAAACATGCTTACTGGGACAAAAAAACGAGTACACTAAAATGTCTCCGATAATGCTAATGTCCCCATAAGTGTTCGTTTTTTTGTAAAATCTGTCCCCGTAAGTGCTAAACTATTTTCACAACTTTAAGTTTCATGCTGTTGCAATCATCAAGTGAAATACAAATATAGTTTGTTCGTTTAAAAAATTATATACAATTGAAACTTTACAGAAAAAACTTATACGGAAAAAACTTTTTTTTATTGTTACGACCGCGTGTATCTAATCTTCAGGTTTGTGGTTGCTCAATAGAAATTTATTTTCGTGACGACACTTGGAGATTAATTCTGTTTTTTTATTGAGTAGCTCTTCAGCATTTTTATAAAGCAAAATAATCATATATATATATATATATATATATATATATATATATATATATATATATATATATATATATATATATATATATATATATATATATATATATATATATACATATATATATATATACATATATATATATATATATATATATATATATATATATATATATATATATATATATATATATGTATATATATATATATATGTATGTATATATATATGTATATATATATATATATATATATATATATATATATATATATATATATATATATATATATATATATATATACATATATATATATATATATATATATATTATTCCAATCATTTAAAACTCTATTGGTAAAAAAATGTCGATTTATATTTCCTGTGTATTTCCGTCTCAGTTTACTATTGGTGACCTCTAGTTTTACATACGTTATATAGCATTTCGAGTATTGTGTAAAAATTTATGGTATCATACTCTTTCAAATACTTCAACATTTGTATCAAATCACCCCTTCTTTTTCTATACTCCAACGATAAAAAATCTAATTTTTTTATTCTCTCTTCATAACTGTACCCTTTTAAACTTTTAATTTAAGATGCTCTATTTTGGACACTCTCTAGTTTATCTCTAGCATACTGCCGATAAGGATTCCAGATGGGAGCTGCGTATTCTATTATACTTTTGGATAAACTCTTTTCACTTCTGTATATATATATATATATATATATATATATATATATATATATATATATAATATATATATATATATATATATATATATATATATATATATATATATATATATATATATATATATATATATATATATATATATGTATATATATATATATATATATATATATATATATATATATATATATATATATATATATATATATAAATATATATATATATATAAATATTTATATATATATATATATATATATATATATATATATATATATATATATATATATATATATATATATGTATGTATATATATATATATATATATATATATATATATATATATATATATATATATATATATATATAATATATATATATATATGTATATATATATATATTTATATTTATATATATACAGATACATAGATTTAGATATAGATACATACTAAAGTGAGAATGTCAATGGAAAAAGTATTGACTTTTTTTTTTTTTCAGTTTTGGAAGGAGTTAACTCTACGTCAAAAATACAAAGCTTGATGGTTGAGAAACGGCGGGCTAATTATCTAATAGTCAATGTTATGCAGTCTAATATTAAATTAGGATCTCTTTATGATCGTCGAACAGATAGAGTTGTTGATGCTTTACAACTATGGAACGACAAAACTTTAACTAATAGAATAAACGCAGAGCAAATAGACAGTCAACAATATTCAATAAACTCTGACCCAAGCCTTTTATCTAAGATGCGTCAGTTAGACATAGATAATGGATTAGGATTAAGTTTTTGTTGTGGAATGTTAAATATTGACGGCAGCGCCCAATATATAAACGACAATCAAGAATCATCTGATGTTGCAAAGGTTGCTCTATTATACAGTGAAACAACAATTTACAAAGAGATAATTTCTGATACTTTTCAAAAAGTTGATTTTGTAGAAGTTTTAGAGAGCAAAACTAAACAAGAAACGTTCACTCATTTTGTTGCAGGTATACTTTTTGGTTGCAACTGTAATATTGTATTTGAAGAAAAAATTCGAAATAACACTTTGAAAAATGAGCAAGTTCATCTAATGTCATCAATTTTAAATCAGATAGCTTTTTGCGGAAAAATAGATCCCAGTTTAAATTCAGCTATAAACTATTCTAACAAAATTTGCTGCAAAATATATAGTGATGTGAAATTGAATGAAAATGTATCTACTTGGGGGGAAGCAATTACTATGTGCGGATCTTTGCAGTCCAAACTTTTCTCAGAACTTTGGGAAGATACTTGTTCTGTTTCCATTGGAGTACCAATAAAGTTATTTTTACTTCCAAAACAAGTTATTAATTCAAACTTTAACCTCATTACTTACTCCCCAATAATTACACGAGATGTTTCAGAAATATTATCAAATCAAGTGAAAAACATCATAGAAACGCTGAACATGGCTATAAACATGTCATCTGATCTAAAAAAGAATCAGGAAAAAAGTAAGTTTGATGGTTTTTCAATATTTGGAAAAATAGATTTCTTCATAGATTATGTGAAAACCTACAACAAATGTTTTCAAAAGGTTATTAAAGAGATAGTATTAAATATTCGAACAGAAAAGATTGAAGAACAAGCACTAACTGATATAATTAATGATCATAATGTCTCTATATTCAGTGAATCTGCTCTACTAAACTGGATAGAATGTGCAGCGCAAGAAGTTCAGTTTTTTGAGAATTACACAAAACGGTTATCATCTTACAGCATCGAATTCTTAAGTAGAGATTTTGAACTAAGTGATTTGAAACATGAAGTTGCAATAGTACTGAAAATGAAACCTCAAGAAATTATTGAAAAATATTTAAATAGCATGAAAATTTATATTGAAATGTTTAGAACGGCAACAAAAACAGATGCATATTTTATTATTAACATGCAAGACATTATTGATAACATAAACAAGATATGCTTTGGAAAAGGTTATAAAAGTGAACTTGTTTTAAACATGGAAGATTTAATAGAACTAGCTGAAGCAAATGTAAACAACAAAAACTTATCTTACTATATAATAGAAACTTCTTTAAGCTGTAAAAAACCTCAAACAGTATTACAAGTATGGATAAAAGATAACAACACACTTGACAATTTCGATTCTCCTTCAAGCGTACAAGATTTTAATGTAACAATGGTATCACATGAGAAAGTTGATTTAAATTGGAAAATGCCAACCAAAGGTTATCTTAATATTTCTTCATTTTTAGTAAAAGTTTACAAGTTCTCAAATATTAAAGAAGTATCTACTAACGAAACTGATTGTATTACAATTGAAATCAATGACTTGCCAGACGATGGGAATATAAGTTGTGCAATAAATAATCTTGAATGCGGTTGTAAATACATAGCAAGTGTTGTTTGCACTAGTATTAAAAAGTTAGCTAAAAGTAAAGAAAAGCAAGTTGAATTTAAAACTCGGTTATGTAGCGCTCCATTAAATGTTACCTATGGGCTTATGTCACAGCGTAAAGTACTACTCTCTTGGTTACCACCTATAGTTATTATGAATGGTGTTATTCAGTGTTATTTAATTGAATATAAAACAGATAACCATGATGACATCTGGAAAACCATTATTATTGATTCCGCTGATTTAAAATGCAAGGTTAAAAATTTATTCTACTCAAAAAGTTATAAATTTCGAATATCTACGTGTTTAGTTAATAGTGAGTCGTCTCTTTTTCATGAGTTTTCTGTTGCAACGGAAGGCATGCCTTGTCCTCAACCTTATAAAGCTATTTTTAAAAAAAATAAACTAATTGTTAAATGGCGAAATGACGAAAAAAAATCCAAGGAAAAACTAAATTATGTTTTAAGATATAGAGTTGAGTCTGAAATTAGTCAATGGACAAAATTATCCCCCAACAATATTTGCAAAAAAGAAATGTCAAACGATTATCGCGTTAAAATAATGATGGAAAACCCACCCGCTGTTTGTTTTGTAGTTCAAATAATGTCGTATAGTGAGTTTGGAAATAGTAAATGGAGCCAGAGCATATCTTGTTATAATAAAAAGGTATAGTTATTAAAACGTTTTACGTTACAAATAATAACATAAAACTATTTTAAAATCATCAAATAGGTATAATATAGCGAGTCTATTATACCATATCCTTGAGGCAACCCAGGAAACAATATATGGAGTGAACGCGAAATATTTCTTGACTCATATATGCATATATTAAACATAAATAAATTTTTTTAAGGGCTAAATAAAATAGATATTTTTAAAAAATCACATTTTCATTGTACAAAACAAAAAGTCAAACATTTATTGCGTTAAAATAATGATGCAAAATGGTCCTGTTTTTATAGTATCATTTGTTTACAGCAAAAAACTCATCTTTGTTTGTTTTTTTTTAATTTATTTTATCACTATATATTTTTCATACAATTAACTACATTAATACATTTATAAATACAAGTATATTTATATGTATACATTTACAAATAAGATAAAAATTAAAATAATGACAGGAGCAAGTAGAAGAGTGAAGTCTTATCATCAAGCCCCTTTCATTTTCAACTTTGTTATAAGTTTCACGTGAGATAAACGTGATATTAAAAAGTAGAAATAAAGCAAAAACTTAACCTTGTACCCAATAAACCATTGGATTTAATTTTTATATTATCACATTAAAACCAAAAAACGTAAATAGAAGTATAATAGTAACAATAAGAAAAATAAAAAATGCTGTTAAAATAAAGATGTCTATCTAAAAAAAAAATTGTTTGAGTCTTGAATATGAAAATTCTTAAGTTTGACTCTCACAAAAAAATACAAATTTGATTTGGATCTTAGACTAGATTAGAACAAAGAACTTTAATAAGTCTTGGCATTCTACTTTAGCACTTTGACGTTAATGCTTTAACATCTGGATCTTGTCGCTATATTTCAATCAGTCGATTTGTGTACTTCTATCTAGTCATTATCATCTCAGTACTGACTTTACAAGCTTCTATAAATTTATGATACAGTTCTTTTCTAGAGATTCGCCTGGCCAGTCAAGAAACTGGGTACTCTTTTAGTTATAGATTTTGTTTTAGGCCATACATCTTGCATTGAAATTATTTTTCCACCATCAGGAAACCTGTATCTGTTAAATCAGTGTAGTCTGCAGGACAATCCTGTATTGATCTTGTTTTCTTTGCCCAATGTAAAGTTGCCCGGTACCCCTGCTCAATATGCATGACCAAAATCATTATGGATGCTAGCTGCTTTACTGCGTTTACAAGTCATTCTGGCTTGTGTTGCTCTCCTAGTAGCGGCGTACTAATATAACTTTATCTGCCAAAGTCATAACAGTAGTTTCATTGCTGAATGCAAACTGATTGAAGCAGTAAATAATGGCGTTTGATAACTTTTCAAATATTTAGAAAACCAATCATGGTAAAATATTAATGCAAAAACTTCCTTTGAAAACAGACGTTTTTTTCATTAATATCCAACAATTATAACAAAATAGTATTTCAGTAAAAAATTATTTCTTTAAATGTATGGAGAGAACAAATTAAAAATTTACTTTATTTCTGTCATCTTGAGAAAAAGAAGAATAGATTTTATTTCAAGACATTGAGAGACAGGCTTTGACATTTTTATTATTATTGGTGTATGTTTCAGCTTCTTCAGTGGTTTTCTTCTCTTGCATTTCCTACTCATAATTCTTCCTTCTTAAAGATCCAAGAAAAGGTCTTTAAATGCCATGGTATTTTAAGACGCTTTTCAGTTTTTTTGCTGACATCTTACAATTTTTATTTTTGATAACTTTTTTGGTTTTTTGTCATTTTTAGCAGTGTTGATTCTTTTTTGAACACAGTGTGTTCTTGTGTTCTCTGCTTTTAATTTGACTTCCATTTTGAGTTTGAAACTTATTGTTCTAATTTGAAATTGCAAGACTTTGAAATTTGAGGCAATAAATGTTTGGCGTTTAATAGGTAAAATAGTTGATGCTTACGTGGATAAGCATCACTTATTTTACCCATTATTAAAAAACAGCCCTTAACAACTCTTAGTCAAAATTTGAATGTTTTGTATTTTTATTGCATTGACTGCATGTTAGTAAAACATGCAAGGAGTGCTGCTACCTTGAATGACTAATAGGTAGAATATAGAAGGTATGTAATACATTGATGAAAAATAGGTTGAACATGCAAGGTGTGCTGCTACATTGACTGACAAATAGGTAGAACATGCGAGGAGTGGTGCTACATTATCTTACAAATAAATAGAACATACAAGGAGTGCTGATAAAAAATGTCATTAGGTAAAAAACAATTTTTTAGCATTATTTATCTATTTATAAAATTTTTATATTGACATTTGAATGATATTATTATTACATCCAACCAAACACGGTGACGTACAAAAAACGTACAAATATAGTTCAGGCGGAACGTCTCGGACACGTTCTAAACTTATTGTAGACTAGACGCTCTAAGACGTCCTTTTAGGACGTTTTAAAGACGTCGTAAAAAGACTTAAATAAGACTTTCCGTTTAATAGCAGTTTTACAAAAGCGGTCCAGAAAAGACGTCTTTTAAACGTTCAAAAGACGTTCTAAACTATGTATATATATATATATATATATATATATATATATATATATATATATATATATATATATATATATTATATATATATATATATATATATATATATATATATATATATATATATATATATATATATATATATATATATATATATATATATATATATATATATATATATATATATATATATTTGCTTTAGTTGAGAATTTTTTTTCATTTTTTCATCAGTTAAGATTTTTTTTTTTTTTCAAAGTTTTTTAGTTTAAACATGCAAAATGCACGGTTGTTATTTTATTGTGAGCATGCGCATAAATTACATTTGAAAATTTTCACAAAAAAAATGGTGGTATGATTTTTCGGCAAATAATGAAAACTAACCGAGATCGGACTCGTAAATATACGGGTCTTTGTAAGTCTATTCCAAACCGATCATAAAATACGGGCCTTAACCAAGCCTAACATTTCTATCTATATCTATTCTGCACTGATTATTTGTATAGCTATTCCTTATTTAATTCAATATTTTTTGGTAAAACAATTTTAATTAATAATTAAAATAATAATTTAGCAAAAAAAATTTCTAAAAATTAAAATAAAATTATAAAGTTTTCTCATTTTATAGATATATTAGCTGTCATGATCCGTAACACACGGGTTTTGGTAAATTTATTCCACATCGCCATTTTCAAATTTATTCCACATAAATTATAAATTCATTCAACATCGCCTTTTTCTATACTTATTCCTTACTTCAATATTTTGTAGTGAGCTGTAGAAAAAAAGCTATATAAATGTAGAAAAACTATCATTATTGTTTCCTTCTTAAATCAATGAAAAAATAAAATTTCTATTATAATTAACCTTAATAAACTTTAAATGTTACGGTAACGTTACGTTGCGTAAATCGCCAATTGGATATCTGTCTAAATACCTGCTTGAAACGTGTAAAAGGTTTCACCTGACCGGACCCGTAAAAACACTGGTCTTTGTAAGTCTATTCCACACTGACTTTTTCTATTCTTTTTCTTTATGTGTATATCCTAATTTTCCTAACCAGTAAAATACGGGTTTTTACCAAAGCGACAATTTCTATACTAATTTATTCCACACAAATCATATCTTAACTTTAATATTATTTGGTAAAATAAAATAATCTAAAAATTTGTAAAAAAAATTCTTTAAGGGCGGTTTCAGACAGAATTAGCAAAAAAAAATTAACATGCGCATCTTTTCCGTATACGGATCTTATAAAAGTATCTTATAAAAGTGGATCTTATAAAAGATTTATTAAATAGTTTGTTTTTCTCATAAAAAGAGAGACTCTATTCCACATTAACTTTGGTATTTCTCCTAATATTTTTTTAGTAAACAATAGATTATGAGCAAAAATGAAAGTTTACATACGCATCTTTTCCGTGTACTTAGAGCTTATTACCACGTATATTTTTTTGGAATGAAAAATTCTGAATTTACTACTAAAAAAATTTAGAAAGAAAATTGTCTCTTTACGGTGTTAGATGCCTAGATTTACCTAATTAAATATGTTTGGTACTATTTTCATAGTTATCTAAGTTCCGTCATTTAGCAGTTGGTTTTGAATGTTTAGCGGAGGCGTAGTAAAATAGCAATGAAACTTTAAATTACTTTGATATCCTAAAATAAGTAGTTTTAACTTTTATTATTTTTTAAAATAATTAAGTAGATAAAAATGATTTATTTTATTTAAAATTTTAAGTCATGTTCTTAATGAAAACATTTTGTTTAAACCTCCTACTTTGTTCAAAAAAAGTTTAGAAGGCGCATGGCAAGCTTGCTTTATTTTTAATTTTTACAACGCAAAACAAAACAATTTCATAGTTCTCTTTTAAAAGTGTTTTATTCTGTATTTTAAAATAAAATCAATGAAAAATTAAAAAATAAATAAAAAAGAATTCCAATCATAGGACTTTAACTCCGATATTCACCTCCGTATGTCGGCACGCTAAACGCTCAACCATATTGCAACTTTCTTAACTTAAGTTTAAAATTATTTAAAAAGCAAAAGACTGTATAAAACAAAAATAAATGCTACCGATCAAAATTAAAAAGATGTTGTCACAATGCAAGTAAAACTGTAAAACATGGTTTTACATATTTATTATTACAAATCTTGATATTACATACATAATAAAAATACACATACAGTTTCGTTCAAAGATACACCTTCGTTTAAAGATTCACTTTCGTTCACGTTTTCTTATAAAAAAAAGCTGTTGCAACTCTCTCTCTCCCCATTACCTCGATTGCAATGCCTGCCATGAGGTCTGTATCAAACAGGCTCGAAAGGGCATTACTACTATCCTCGCAGTCGGAAATACGTCATAATCTTTGCCGCGAACATCTACCATTATAGTTGGGGGAAAATAAACTTTCGTTATGAAACGAAAACAATGGCAAAACATAAAAGTCTTTAAAATGCACAAGGGTTGTTGTGTCTTTAAGTGATTTTTGATATATAGATATACGTGTAAATATAAATAATATATTAATTATATATATATATATATATATATATATATATATATATATATATATATATATATATATATATATATAAAATATTCGTAAACCTATATTTCTTTTTTTTAACTCTTTAAACCACTTTTTCTTAACAATTGTCCTGCTTTATTAACTCAACTAATCATTTGTTTTCCCTCATCCAAGATGGTAACAACTTGCGCTATTGTTGTTTTGCATAACCACGTGACTTTCCGACTGCGAGGGTTAGCTTTAGTATTATTAAATAGATAAAAAGAATTTTCAAATCTTCTTTATTTTGATTTCTCATTTCTAAAATTAAATAGAAATCTTTATTCCTTTGTCAAAAACAATAACTATGTTAATTCTGAATTAAGATTAAACCTTTAAAAAGAACACAATAAATAAACTTTTAATAGAAAGAAATGAAACTTACTTATTGCTTGATAAACGATATATGAAAAGGAACAGATCGCATGGCATATTTTCAGTCGCTTTAGAGTACAGTTGGCGCTCATACCATAATCCAAGAATCAGATAATTTTAAAATCTTTTTATTAAGCTGTTTGTATTACCGGATTTGGTGGATTTAATTAGATGAATCGCAAAGACATTATTTTAGTCGTTTGTGAGTTGGCCCACATATCGTAATACAAAAGTTCGTTGATTTTTGAATCTTATAGTTAAGCTGTTTTTATGGCATATATAAGAAGATAACATAATTTTAACAAATCTTAAATTGGAGTTTCAAATTTTTCACTTGGATGTCAATATGTTTTGTGTTTTTTCAATTTTGTCAATTTTTTTAAACATAATATATTTTAAATATAATATATTTTAAATATAATATATTTTAAATATAATATATTTTAAATATAATACATTTTAAATATAATATATTTTAAATATAATATATTTTAAATATACCTGTCTATTTAACAAAGTTTAAAAAAAGTTAGTTTTATTAAAAAATAATTTATATAATGTTTCTTCGTTTATATAATGTCTTTGCAAACACCAATACTTAAAATTTTTAAGCACTGAACTGCAATTACTTTTAATTCTTTTGGTTTAGTGGCTATTGTTAAGAAGTTTTAAATTTTGCGTCCAATTATATCATTTCAACATATTCGTTGTATCATCCATACTGCAGCCGTTTTTCAAAACGCCTAAAGGGGTTGTCCATAAATTACGTCACGCTATGAGGGGGAGGGAGGTTGGTGGTTTTGTGACGACTCATTCAAAACTCGCTTCTTAAGTGTTACGATTTTGTGACGAGGAGGGGGGGGGGGGGAGTTCGAAAACGGTCAAAAATTGCGTGACGTAATTTATGGACGACCCCAAAGGTAAAAAATATCGTTTTTGACTTTTTTACAAAATAAGTTTTTTTGGTTTTGTCTACAAACGTTATTGAATACATATTTTCTAAAGTTCTGAAAAAATTCATTAAAATCATTAAAAAAAAAAAAAAGTTTTACAAAGAGTTAATACATCTATGTTTGCGCTTAACCATCTCTATTTAATAATTTTTTTTTTTAATTGCGTTTTTCTCAAAATACGTAATAAGCATATAAGGCGTTTTGAAAAACAGCTGCAGCATAGGGCTAGGGAAAACCCGGCCTTTTTGGACCCGACGAGTCCGAGTCGAGCCTTTGAATACTTATCGGGTTCGGGTTCGGGTCCGGGTCTAATACGTCTTTTTACTTCGCAACTTTAACAACAGAATGATTGAATATTTTGTGTTCCCGCCGATTGAAAAAAATAGGTTTGGTAAATTTTTCGGTCAACAAAACATCTTCTAGCCGGTTTCAAAGCCCAACTTAAATATATTAATATATAATTATACTTATGTTAAACTACCAAACAAACTTGATAGTATTTAAAAAATATATATAAATTAAAATACTTATAAGTGTTTAATATACAATAATTTATTTAGTTTTTTTTTCCAGTGTTGATGCTAATGCAGTAATTCAGTCGAATGTCCCTGTTCATAATGTGTATTTTGCAGTTCTTCATTTTTATCGAATAATTTTTTTCAATAAATCTGTAAGTTTTTGTATTTTCTTTGGCATAATACCATTTACAAGAGAATCTTATAGCTCTTCTAAATATTGGTTTTAATGGCAATTTATTCGAGTTTTTATTATCATTTATAGCTCTCTACTTAAATTACCATTAGTTTCTTTTAACTTTCTTAACATAAAATCAATTGCTAATTGGTTTGTTGCAAGATTAACATCGTCTCTGCTAAGAGCTTTAACAGTTAGTTTAATAGGCTTTTTGTCAACTCATGTTCAATTTTAATATTTTCTATTAAGTGCAGACTTCCAATACCTTGAAAAGCTTCTTCAATGATGATTGAAAAAACAATGAAAATTGTTTTAAAATGCATTAGTGAATAATATAATTTATATTTTGATTATATAATGTCTCTTTCCAGAATACGTTTACCAAACAATTTATTAATTGACAATTTTGACCCAACGGTCAACTTAATTAAATTTTTTGACCGTGGGCCTCCCTAATAATAGTATAAATACAGCCCTATCTAAGCATGCTATTACGCATCAGATACAGCTACCTAGAAAAGCTGGGGATTCACAAAACAAACCGCTGCGTACAAAACAAGGCCAGGAGTTCAAATCACAAGACTCGCCGAGTCTTAGACCGGGTATTGGGTCCTGGTATTTAGCCACAGACTCGCCGAGTCCGGTACCCGGAACCAAAAAAACCCTACTGCAGCACATATTTATTGTAAAAAAATAAATGTAGCACAAAAAACTATTTATTTTCTAACTACAGGCTTTTTTTTTTTTTTGCAGCACTTTCTGGAGTAGCAGAACTGTTTTAAAAAGTTTTTGTTTTTTTTAAGTTTTAGAAAACTTTTTTTTCAGACCATTCGCAGCTTATCAGGGCTAATTACGTTATTATCATAAGTATCTCAATCATGACACATACGCAACAATTTTTTTCTCCCGGTATTTTGATGTTTTTAAAAATATTATTTTTTTTTAAATCTTTCCGTTCGTTTAAGTGTATAATATCGTTACATATGTTTTTATAAACACTCTATAAAACTTCAAAAGTATTTCGTATTTTAATTTAAAGTCGAAAAAATTATAAAAAAAAAGTTTTTAATGGTAGGACTCGAACCAGGGCTTTCTTGTTCAGAAGCAAAGCGCGCTATCCACTCAGCCACGCTGGCACGTTGTTAAACGAAATTTCTAAAACTATGTAATGTTGTTTTTCACGGAAAGATATGCTGTACATCAAAGTTAAGGAGAACTTGACGCAATTTTTAAGTGAAAATCAAACTGTAAAACTTGACAAATGTTTCAGTATCTTTTAACATTACTTAATTTAAAGTTTACACGCGTTAGAAATTTGCATACACGTTCGTTCACGTTTTCTTAACAAACAAAGTGCTGCAACTCTCACTCGCCACTACCTCGGTTGCAATGGCTGCGAAGGGTTTCGTGTCTAATACGCTCCAAGGACACTATTAAAACTAAGCACTATTAAAAATAAGATTTCCCACTTATAGAATTTCTAACGTTTGCGCTTTTAATTGCTGACATCGATATTTGCATATTTTATTGAGAAACAAGATTTATGGTATTCAAGATATTGAAAATTTGTTTTTAATAATGTAAATGCTAAACTCTTATTACGCAAGACTAAATGTTGTAATGCGTAGAAAATATTTATTTAAAAAAACCCAAACTTTAGCCAACATTTTTTATTGTAACTTATAATTAAAAAACTAAAAAAAATCTGTCCCCCCGATAACCTTAAACACAAATATAAGTAGTTTCTATTAGTGATAAATTTTTTATGCAAAATGCAACCTTATAAACTATTGGATTATAGATTTAAGAAATTTTCATCAGTAGTATTTTCAATATATACTCTAACAACTTAATTCGGTAATGGTGCAATTGAGAGCCATTAATATTATTAATAAAGAATGATAGATTTCTGAAGTATATACTGCTTAGTAAACCTTAGTGAAAAAAATTGGATTTTCAATACATTTTTGTATACAATAGTTTTTAAGATCTATGCAATTTTTTTTATTTTTTTTTATTTCTAGTTTCATAGCTTCAGCTTTCGGATGGTTTCTCAGAAAATGTTGTTTTAACGTGCTTTTTAAACGGCTGCAGCCTTTCATGTGCCAAAATAAACGATCAAGATTGTAATTGATCAATTGATTAATTGACCCCATAAACTCCAATACCTAGTCCCCATTTCTCAATAAATTGAATGACATGGTTTTCAAGCAAATGCATCTTCGGAATTACAGATGCACTTGGTCAAGTCAACCAATAATACTCCATAAGCGTGCGGATTTCAAATTCTAAAATTAAATAATTTGAGTATAAAAAATATTTAAACTAATCAAATATCTAACTAAAAGCAATCAAGGCTAGTAAGCTCGTTTGCAATATTTCCTTTTCAATTAGCTCAAAAACGTGTTAAACTGAACCACCAGATTGCTTAAAAAGAAAACTTACCTAGTTCCCGAATATTACTATCTTGAAAAGATTGCGAGCTGTTCATGGAATTGTGACATTTTGAATAATAAAGAAATAACTGCTTATATTTCTGGCTCACATTAACTAATAATAAATTGTGGGGTTTGGTACTCCAATTAAATTAAAATCTTAAAATGGGGGAGGGTGTCATAGTAAATTAACTTAATTTGCTAATATCTGGTTGTTCAAAGCAAAAAAATGGAGTAAGATGAAAGACATTCTTATATCAATAATTAGAAAGCCACATCAGGATTTTTCTAAGTAACCATTTTCCCAGTCTACCCATGACAGTTTATTTTTTAAATGCTGTTTTTCAGAATGAATGTTCTAAATATATGAATATCTTTTTTTTTTTAAATTTAAAAAATATACTATAAAACAAAAACCTTAAGCATTGTGTGAAAATGGTTTCCATGGTTTCCAACAAAGCATTTTCCATGATAAGCTTGTCTTTCTACTTTAATAGTCTTCAACACCTTTTCAAGTTGTTGAATGCAAGGATCTGAAGTTTTATCAAGAACGTTTGCTTCATTTAAGGAAATTAATTCTGTTATTATCTGAAATAATAAAAATAGAAATTAATTCTGTTATTATAAAAAATATGTTTTTTAAAATTTAAGCATATATATTATTATATTAATTATAAATTTTTTAAATATTTTTATTTACCAAAAATTTCATTTTAAATTTAATTCAATATTATACATAATTCAAAATTACATTTTTGCAGTTACATAACAATCAATACCTTATCGTTTTTTATTAAATCATAGTATATTATTCTTGGTGTGTATAAGTTCCTTATTTCTCCCGTTTTATCTGGCTCACATAAAACTTTTACAGATATTGTATCTTGTAAAAGTGCAATTTTATTGTCACAGTCTTCAATAATACTTTTTACAAGATTGGATTCGATATGCATGTTAACATATTTGTCAAAATCAGCTTTACCAATCATATTATCTTTAAAAGCAAGTTCTCCAACAAGTTTTATATCTATTAAATGGCATTTGTCTTTAAACATGTTAAAAAAGTATAAATAGGTACCCAAAGATATATGTAAAGCAGGTAGAGCAATCTAAAAAAAAATGTTAGGATTATTAGACTAACAATTTCTAATGTTTATTAGACTACTAATATTAACCACAATATTGAATCATCGCCAGTACTGGAACCACCACCAGTATTGAAAAGATTAAAAAATAAAAGTGCTAAATTATATTACCTGGTCTAGAGGAATATTAAACAGCAGTTCATTAATCATATTGTTAAAAAGTTTAGCATTTTTCAAATTTCTTTCATTACTTTTAAAACGATGAAAGTCATTGTATAAGGAATTTAGAGATCTTTGTGAAACATGTTCTCTACATATTAGAGCCAGTTGGATATTTTTTTGGTGATGTACACAGTAGCTGGTGAACTTTAATTCAGATAAAACTCAATTTTTTTCAGCCAATTGTTATTGCAATAATTTAGACCTTCCTATATTTGTGAACGGTAATGTACTCGATGAGTCTCCTACCCTTCATCTTCTAGGGTTAACTGTTACTTTTGATCTATCTTGGAAACCTTATATCAAATCCGTTGCAAAATTAGCATCTGCTAAAGTTGCTTCTCTTTATCGAACTTGACACTTTCTTACTCTGGATTCTATTCTCTATCTCTATAAATCTCAAATCCGGCCTTGTATGGAATACTGTTGCCATATCTGGAGCGGATCTTCTAATGATGCCCTTTTCTTTCAGACAAGGTGCAAAAACGCATTGTAAATATAGTTGGACCTGCTTTTGCAGCCAACCTTCAACCTCTGTCACATCGTCGTAATGTTGCTTTTCTTTCTCTTTTCTACAAATACTATAATGGGCACTGCTCTAAAGAGCTAGCGTCTCTTGTGCTATCTACTAAAATTCATTCTCGTGTTACTCGTCATTCAATTAAGTCTCATCCTTTTTCTGTTACTGTTCCTAAGTGCTCCAAAAACTCTTATTCGTCTAATTTTTTTCCTCGAACATCAGTTCTTTGGAACTCGCTTCCTTCATCTTGCTTTCCTGGTTCATATAATTTGCAATCTTTTAAGTCGTCTGTCAATCGTTATCTTGCTCTAAAATCTTCATCTTTTCTCTTCCAGTAACTTCCAACACTAATTAGTGGTTGCTTGCAGCCTTGTTGAAAGCAAAGATGTTTAAAAAAAAAAAAAATGTCACAAAAAAGACAGCAATGTGTTAATTAACTAAGTTTTCAAAGTTCTCAAGTTTTCTTGTCAAGGCTTTTTACTTACTTTTTAAAAAATGCTTTTTTGTGAGTCTAATAAAAGTAGAGCAAACTTACAACTAGCTCCTGTAACTCCATATACGCTGCAAAGGAAGTTATAATCACCAAACATAAAGACACGAACATTGTGATTTCTAAATATAATTGAATTGTAAGTATAAAAAAATAATCATAAAAATAAATAAAAAGATAGTTTTACATAAAATACTATTGCTCTTAACTTTAGACATCGTAACTTACTGCCATTTAATGTTTTGTATCTCATCAACTTGAAGTGTATAACGAGATAGCCCTACTATAAGATTAGTTCGATAGTCTTTGGCTTCAAATGTGCTAAACACAATAAAGTTAGATTTCGAGTTGGATTGGTCTTGGTTAACTATTTGATAACTCATTTTAAATGAACCACCCCCATGGTCTCTGCCAATTTTGATGTGGATTTCATCATTTATTATTCTATTACGTTTTATTAACTTGAAACTTAAAATAAAAAACATTAACATAAAAATAATAATTTCAACAGTTTAAACATCTTTGTACATTTAACTTAAAAATTGTGTATTAAATTATACCTTTCAAGAATATTTAGCATGTTTTCAATATTTTTAGGTAGATTATCTATATATGCCCAAGGAGCATATTTGATTTCAAGACTACACTTAATATTTTCATTTTGAAATGTAAAATTTTCATCTAACACAATAAGATCATTTCTTGCCCAGGTCTTTGCAACAACTCTTTATTTACTGTTAGAAGCAGTCGGGACGTTTCTTAAATTTAACCATCTACAATATTTAGTAATTAACTATTTTCTACATAATAATATTCTCCACATAGTAATATTTTACATTATCAGTGATGAACCTGGTTTATTTGGGGATACATTTTTTACAAGATAAGTTATAAAACCGACCCCTATTTTTAGGGCTAAATAAAAACAAAACAGGTCATTCCTGATTATATAAATATCAATAATACATAATTAAATATTTTACTTTAACACATCTTAACATAACATTTATTTGTAAACATTTACTTTTTTAATATTTGAAATTCTTTTAATTACTTAAAAAAATGTTTTACCTAGTCATTGTTTTTAATTTATTCTAGGGTATCCCTACGTCAGCTTTAAAGGCAACCAATTCCTCGGCAGAAAATTCAACAATTCCAATTCAAAATTCAACAATTCCAATTCAAAAAAAACAATTCAAAATTCAACAATTCCAATTCAAAAAAAAAGTCGAAGAAATATTATTACTGAAAGCACCCCCTCCCCCTTTAATGTGTAAAGAAGTACATAAATGAAAACAATTCAAATTCTATATTTTTTAATTTACAGTTTTTTCCAACAAGTTACAAAATTATTTTGTTACTTATTGAATTTATATAGTAGTATATTTTTATTCAAATATTATCAAATATTAGTGTTTTACTAATCTTTGAATGAAAAAATACTACTACATAAATTACATAATACACATATCACAAGTTATTAACAGGGGGAGGGGGGTTCCAAAATTCTATATTTCTTGTTTAACCAGTTATTCTTAATTAATTTTTCGAGAAAAATTCAAAAAACGATTCAGTTTTTGCTAATTTTTTATGGTTGACCTTCTACTTCTATTTAAAAAATTTCAAGATATAATAAATTAAAGTCTTTACTAAAGTTTCATTGCGTATAAAGTTACGCAACTTTTCTGTCAAATTTATGCTATTCAAGTTTTGATTGGATGAATTTGATTTTTGATCGTCGCATTTTAGAAAAATTTTATCTGATGTCTCTTTCTAAACAAAACGTTTTAAGTAACACTGGTCAAAAAAATGGAACTTTTTGTTCTCATAATGAATAAAAATATTTTTTTCTGGATAAACATTTCACTCTGATCCCAAATATCTATTTAGTTTTTCTCTATCACGTACACATTTTAAGATAAGGGCCCCTCTTATTTTGCAAATCTCAGGGAAATTAAGACATTTGCCTTAAGTTGTGTTGTATGAATTTGCATCTCCTACTCTATTATTATCTTAGATCCGTACAAATGTCAACAATTAAAGTCAGTATTAACATATACAATGTTTTATTCACTACAATTATCAAAACATTTGCTCATAATCGCTGTGAATATGACTTTCTTTTAAAGACTTTGTCTGGGTTGTCACGATAAAGCATCCAGCAGCAATCACCCATCATGCTTTCATTCCAAAATCCTTGATAGCGATTTTCCATCAGTTGAATATCTTGATGAAATTTTTCACCTGGTTCATCACTCACTGCACCCAGATTTTCAGGAAAAAATTTCAGATGGAAATGTAAAAAGTGCAACTTCAAAGACATGCGACATCCCTTTTTTTGATATAAATCGAGCAGCTCTTGAATGCCTGCATCATATTCAGGTGACTTGTGGTTACCAAAAAAGTTAGCGCAAACCCAAGTAAAGGCTTGTCAAGCTTCCTTTTCTTCATCTGTGAGAGAATTTTTGAAATTAATATCTCGTAAAACCTCTCTAATTTGAGGTCCGACAAAAATTCCTTCTTTCAACTTTGCTGCACTCATTTTTGGAAATTTTTCCACAAAGTATTGAAATCCAGCTGAATTGGATTTCCCCATTGCTTTTACAAAGTTCTTCATCAAGCCAAGTTTGATATGTAGAGGAGGTAAAAAAATCTTTTGTGGATCGACCAAAGGAACATTTTCAACACTATTTCTTCCTGGCTCATACTCATTCCTTTGGTCCTAATCTCGTTTTACGTAATGTTCTGTTACAGCGCGGCTGTCCCACAAACACAAGAAACAGCAGAATTTTGTGAAACCCATTTGCATGCCCATTAGCATGCCAATGACTTTTAGATCACCACAGATATTCCATTGATGAGTTTTGTAGTTGATTGCCTCAAGGAGAATTTTCATGTTTTCATGCGTCTCACTCAGATGAACAGAATGAGCAATTGGTATGCAAAGCTTTTGATTTCCCTTATGCAACAACACAGCTTTCAAGCTTCGCTTTGACGAATCAATGAACAAACGCCATTCAGAAAGTTCATGCGGCTGTGAAATGTAGCTAATTGAAGATTACGCTTTCGATAGTGGCACACTTTAACGTTTGTTTCAAGCAAATTTTTTTGTTTAAGTTGTAACTTCAAAAGTTCTGCTTTTTCCTTTGATAAGGTTAAGTCTCGGACCAAATCATTTAGTTCTTCTTAAGTGAATACTTCTGGACATCAGGTGAATAGTCAAGATCGGCAGTATCTTGATGTTCATCACAAGAGTCCACTTCCATCTCATCTTCGACAGAATCTAATCCAACTATTGGAGGTATTGGTAATGGTAATGAGGGGTCATGTGAAACTGGCCTCATTGCCGAATCCAAATCTGGATAAACGATTTTGTGAATAAAATAAAGTAACAATCAGTTACATGATCCTTTGGCTCCCTCCATACCATGGGTATGGCAAATGAAAATGCAGTTTTCCGTTTGTGAAGCAAGTCACGCAATCCACTAGAACAGCTTGTGCAAATAATATGTGGAGCCCATGTTTTATCTTGATCACCTAACAGACATCCAAAGTACATCTTGTAGGTTTTTGACAAGTTCGCTGTAATTTTACGCCGCTGACCAGACACTGTAAATAAGCCGCATACATAACAAAAGGTGTCAGGCTAATTCTTGCATTTTCTTGGCATCTTGATAAATTATTTTATAAAGATTAAATCAAACCTGAAATGAGGAATAATATCATCAGTAATTGCCACTAATCTCAAAACATAAGGCATGTCATCTCAAAAACTAGACGTGCTACAAAAAAACTGAGCACAGATTTGAAATCTGCACAAAAAACTGTATCTGGGTCACCCAAAATTGAGTCTGATGAAAAATTGTTGTTGACCAGTGTAATCAAAACGACAGATTGCTTCAAAAAAAGTTTCATCTGAAGTTTCTTTCTAAACAAAACGTTTTAAGAAGTCAATAATAGCTAATTAAATAAAATTCCAGAACCAGTTACTAAGTATACCTCAAAGATATTGAATGATTGTATCATTCTTGCTAGAGTATTTTGGCAAAAGTTAGCCTCAGTTCTTCAAAAAAGAGGAAAGCGTTATGTGTTTGGTATATAATATGATGAGTATTAAGTTACTAATTAAGTTGTTAAAGTTGATAAAGTAGTTACAATTGACATTAAACTTTAGTGTCAGTGTACCACACATTGCAACAGGCTTTGGAAAAAACCCATTTAATTTCAACAGTGGATGTAAACTTAATTATTTAAACCATATAAGAAATGAAGGTTCGCGTAGTTTAAATGTATTTTGGAAAACTATTGTCCGATTATTTGTCCAAAAAGTTGAAACTATGAAATATAGTTTAAACCAGTTACAAAAACAAATGGATAACAACGGAAGAGCAGCAAACTTTGCATCAGGTGTGCAAGAGGAGTTCTATTTTAGTTTGATTATAAAGTTACAAGGCGACCCATTTAACTATGAACTAGACTTTATTGAGTTAGATAAAGATATGTTAAAATGAAAAAAAAGATCGAAGAATGAGGTACTTTATTTTAGGGATACAAGTAGGTCATTGTAACGGAGGTCTACTCTGTTTAAATACACGATTATTGATAAAAAAAATACAAAACTCCATCTTATGTCTACCAAAGAACACGCTCATAACCTAAATGTTCTACATGGAAAGTTGCCGCAGCAATCCTTTATCACATATGATGACTTTTATTGTTATTTTCCATTTTCAATAGTAAAAACAGCAAACTAGATGAATTATTCTCATATATAATTCTTAATTTTTTTTTGTTACTTATAAATATCTGTAATTACAATGTATATTATTGATCAATTAAACAGAAAAATATTTCTACTTTTCAACTTTTCTTATATTTAATGACAATAATAATTTATCTTTTTTTAACAAAGCCTTTTTTTGTCAAAATATTCACATTTATTAAATTCAAAGTAGAAGGCTAAACAATCAAAATGAAAAAAAAATGATTATGATTTTCAGAATCAGCATAAAAAACCTAAGAAATATTGGTTTAACTAGTAAAAATCTAAAAAAAGATGATTATGGACCCCCATCCCCCCCCCCCCCCATTATTAGGGAAAATTATTATCTTGCCTAGAATTACTTCCCAGAGAATTAAAAATAACACAAAATTTCCTTTTTTGTAAATAGTAACATGTATTAAAATAGTTGAGTTCGAAATCATGAAAATTAAACTCAGTATTTTTAATGATGTTTAATTAAACTATTAAATTGTTTATTACATGGTATTTAAAATACCCATCATTGAATTATTTATTTGTAAATTAAAGATCTATGTGATTATTGCATAAAATTTACATTAAAATCTATTTTAAATCTACTTAGTAAAAAAAGATTCTTTTGGGGGAACTCTCTTAGACTCGCCCACAATATCCAAATACTGTTAAATACTGTTAAACATTGCTAATATATTGCTTTGTTATCCTCTTCACCATAGTGCAAATAGGTGCTCTTTATATATATATATATATATATATATATATATATATATATATATATATATATATATATATATATATATATATATATATATATATATATATATATATATATATATATATATATATATGTATATGTATATGTATATATATATATATATACATATATATACATATATATATATATATATATATATATATATATATATATATATATATATATATATATATATATATATATATATATATATATATATATATATGCATGTTTTAAAATTTTCAAATCAATACCTAATATAGTTCTTTAGAAAACAATTTAAAATCTGGCATTTTTGATTTTTTGGTCTTGAAAATATTTGCGTAGGCCTTGATCTTGAAACGCTTAGCCTTGGCCTTGGCCTTGTAACTTTTGACCTTGGCCATAGCCAAAAGTAGCAAACTTTTGGCCTTGTTAACAACTCTAAATAAAAAAAGATTAAAAATTAATGCAATTGAAATTCCCAGTTGATCTACACATGGTGGATAAAAATTTTCAAAAATTAAGCGGATTAGAGAGCTTTTTTCATCATTTCAAGGCCGATCAAATTTTTTTTTAATTGATCCCAAATGCAAAGAATCTGCAACTTAAGATGACACCATTTGTTTTCTTAAATATTTTTTTATGCATCAATCAAAGAGTGTTTATTAATAAAACAAAAAAATTACCAGATACTTATTTATTATCCTAAAAGACAGTCTCTAAAAGTCAGGCAAAGTTTTCCATAAAAACTTTACTTTTTTTAAAAAAAATTTATTTGTTTAATGAATTTTAAAATACTGATATATCAATTTAAAAGGTACTAATATTAGTACTTTTTAAATTGATTTTCAGTATTTTAAAATTCAATGAACAAGTAGTTTTTTTCAAAAAAAGTAGTTTTTTTTTGGAGTTTTTATGGTTTTGTTTTTATTGAAGCTTTATAAAAGTTTTTTAAAAAGTTTTTATTTTTTATAGGGCTATACCTTACTTCTCATAGCAAATTAAATCTTCTTTGAAACATTTACTTTTTTAGATTTACTAAATTTAATAAGATAGTTATGTTCGTTTAACGCTTAACCAATACAACATGGAGAGAACTCAGCAATATTTGTCATTATTAATAAGTAGTATTCTCGAAAAAACAATAACAGTTTGTTTTGGTTCTAATAAAAGAACCAAAATAAACTTTTATTGTTTTCATTTACTTTGCTTGTGAAACTATAGAAGTTATTTGTAGTTATCACAAAAAAAAGTTTATTTGTTGAAGTATAAGAGGTATTAGTATATAACTCATATGCCAAAGTTTTATTCATATTCTTAGTCAAAATATCAGAACTAGTTGCAAAAAAACACGGCATTGCAAATATCATGATACAAAAAAAAATAAACCCCTGGAAAAAAAAGAAATTTATGTTGGCAGCCTTACATTAAAAAAAGATTTAAATAAAGTCTTGTATGTTTTGAATGCTCACCTGTCAAGCTTGTTTCAAAAAAAGATAGAGTTGCATATGGAAAACCTAAAGTTTATAAAATGAGAACTGTTATATAAACGGCAGTTATCAATGTACTAAATGTAGAAGTAACTGCATATGGTGATATTGAAATGGCTTCAACCAAATTTTTGAAATAAGAAAACAAAGATTTTGACAAAATTATGATTATTTGAGTCATACTTGAGTAAAGTCAGATTTTGACAAAACATTGTTAAAATCCGAAAAAATCACACTTCTTCTACTCACTCCAGACAGTTGAAAAAAGCAGTATTTTTTAAAATTTACAAAGATCTGTAATAGAAGCCTAAGAAAACAATGTAGAATATTATTGAAAACTTCAAAATTGGGTAGAAAACTAAGCAAAGAGGTAGTTACAGAAGTTGTTCAATTCTATCAGAGTGATAAATATCGTGTTTCTTGTGTATATATAGATAATTTAGCTAAGATTTATTTGTACTTCTTCATGAAATATCAAAAAATGTTAGATAACTTTTATAAAAGAAAAGCAGAAAATTTTTAGATTAGAAAGTATAGGTTAGACTATGTTGAGTATGCCGATACTTTTTGATATTTTTGTATTTATTGTTTTTATATGGGCTTTCCAAGAAACCTTTTCGTCAATAATTATTCCAAAAAGTTTAACGATTTTAGTTCTTTTAATGCTACTGTTGTAAATTTTTAGTAATGCTAGCATACTTGGAATATTATTTTTCTGATGATCAATGTGAAGCAAAATGTATTTAATGATAACTTATTTACTATAAATCAGATTTAATGATAACTTATTTACTATAAATCAGATAATTAGGTTCTTGAGGTTGTTGTTCACAGAAAGTTTGAACTAAAAATATATAAGCACAAGAATGGAACCTTGGGGAACTCCGCATTTTATTTCTTGTAAATTTAAATATTTATTATCATTTGATATAAATATTCAAATATGTATATCAAATAATAATAAATAATTGAATATTTATTATTACAGATTACTTTTAAACCAGTCTAGAGTATTTTTTTTTTATCCCGTACTTTTCTTTTTTCTTTTTTTTTTTGTAAGATATTATGCTTAATTGTGTCAAACGCTTTTGTATATTTTTGAGATTTTAAGCAGGCAAAATATTTAGTTTGCAATTTTTAATCGCAATTATTTATTTCAGAAAATCCGAAGTTTTTTAAATATTGTCATTTGAGTATTTTTTTTTTTAATTTTCTTTTAATTTTTCAAACAAATTTTTGTACTGTTTTGTAAACATTTAGGTTCATCTATTTTTTAATATATTTGACGTAAAGTTTTGTTGTTGTTTTTTTTTGAGAATTTTTTTATGCCTTTGGTGATCCATTTTAAATACTTTCTATTACTAGTTTTAATTTAATTGGGAAGTTCATATCATAGTTTTTAAAAAAAATTTTACAAAGTTATTATAATTAGAGTCAGTCCAAGTTGCATTCTTGGTATATCTTATCCCAACAATGAGTTACTAGGGTTGGTTTGATTATAATTGAGCAGATGAAATGTTGAAATACTTTTTAAAAAAAAGTTTTGCATTGATATGTTTGTAATATTGTACACAATCTATGTTCATGTCCCCAACACAAAGATTTTGTTTTGCTTATTGAAGATTTTTATTAAAATTTTGTCTGAAATTGTTGGATAATTTTAATAAATCACTTTCAGGTGGTCGGTAAAAATTGGAGACGAGTATGTTTTTTGATTTGTAACTAGTTGTTTCAGGTGTAAAAACCTCACTATTGAAATCTAAGATCATATCTTATTTTGGTGACTTAATGATTCCAAATATGCATTATAATTTTACCTCCTCTTAGTTAGTTCGTGCTTGTTAGTTTTTCTTTCATATGATAATAATTTGTTATTATGAAAATCTAAACTTGAATTTTTTTTGCGTGATTCGTCAGAACACCACGTCTCTATTACTAACAGAGACGTCTAACAGTGTTACTAACAGAGATGTTACTAAGTCTCTGTTATTAACAGAGATCTCTGTTACTAACAGAGATCTCTTTTACTAACAGAGATCTCTGTTACTAACAGATATCTCTGTTACTAACGTTTGGGAAAGATGTAAAATGGCACTATAAAACCACTGTGCGCTAATGGCAATTGCCATACAAAAACACTTGGGATCTAAGCTTACCAACTCGTATGGTCATATTACAAATTGCAAAGTTTGTAATAGTTGCCATAAAACTTGTTACGCAATTGACACAAGTGTTTTGTTTTTGTTTTTTGTTTTTTGTATATGGTTAGTTAAACAGTTTTTTAAATTTTTTTCGCATTCTTATCTTTACTGTGTGATTTTAAGGATAACTTTCCAGATGACGATGAAGATGACGAAAAATATTTTAACATTGAAGATCAAATAAATAAAGAAGACATAAAAATTGCACTCCAACGAAAAGAAACAATTTTTGAAACTGACTCATTACATATTGCAAGTTGTAAACAAATTGGAATTTTAAGATGGATGAAATCTATTGAAATGGGAGATTATCAATGTTTAAATAAAAAAATTCAGTGGATTGATGAAACAGGAAAGCACAAAGGTGTTTATCACCCCATGGATCTATTATACTACTTAATTAAAAATTCTGATAATTCAATAAGAAGAAAACTTTATAGAAAACTTTTTGCATGCAAAATCTCGGTACCTGTTTTATTACATAAAAAGAAAACATTATATATGGATTTTTCACTAAGTAAAATAGAATTAATGTGGATAAAAAACTCTGATCAAACTGTTGAGATAAACGCATCTCATGCTAATTTGCCAGTAGTTTCTTTGCTACGTATTGGAAAACAAGGTAAAAGTAGTATTTCTAAATCGAAACTTGGAAACGATTTATTGAAAATTAAGTTTGAAAGTGGACTAGGTGGTTGCGGCTACTTTACAAGAGAATCTTTGTCAAGCAATTATTTGCGAAAGGCGTCAAGTGGAATTGTAGAAGCACTGTGGTTTCAAAAAACGACATATGAAGAAAAATTTTCAACTTCTTTCTGCATGCTTAACCTTAGAGGAGATGCATTGCATTATTTTGAGAATGCGAGCATTCTAGTCAATGCTTCAGACGTTGTTTTATTTTTATGTGATGCTGAAATGTTTGAAGATAATAGGTACAAAGAACTACTTGCTAATATGGCTCGGCAGATAAAAGAATCTTCGAGGAAGTTGAAAGTTATTGTTTTGATGACTAAAAAAGCATACTCTAAAGTAAAAGAAAATCGCGAAACGTTTGAATCTCTAAGTGAAAAAATATGCTGGATAGAAATATATAAAGAACCTTTTAAGCTTCTGAAGTTATTACAAAGTGAAATAAATAAATCTTTAGATGAAATACAAAAACCAAGTAGCCTTAACAAACGTTTTAAATCTTTAAAAAAGGAATCATTAAGTGAGAATAATTTTAGAGCTTTAGAAATATCAGAATTGCTTTTAAAAAAAATGAGCAAAATTCAGGATTCTGATGACACTTTGGGTTATAAAATTAGAGAAAGTTTATTTCCGCATCAATCTATTGTTAAACTTTATGCTCAAAAGCAACGCGAGGAAACAAGATCTATAGATCTGAAAAAAAAATACTTAATACAAAGTGAGCTATCGGATATCAAGTCTTCGCAGTATAGATTAATTTGCAATGGTTTATCTAATGTAACACAGAAGTTTATTACTAACTTAATTGATTGTGATGATCTTTCTAAATTAAACTATGTTTATCTTGTTCAAGATAAACTAGATATTTGGTGTAAAGAAAATATTTCAGCTATGACAAATATCCTAACTAAGTTTAATAAAAAACTTAATTATTTAAAAGAAAACATAAATAAGCAAGAGTATATAGACAACCGAGATATTCATCTATCAGAAACAGAACATATCAAAAGTTTATACGAAAGTCAAAAAAAAAAAATATTAAACGTTTCGATCGGTATTGAAAACTTGTTTCGTGAAGTTGGACTTATATTTGAGACAGTGTCTAGGTACGAAAAAGAAAAAGACTTACCCATAGAACTATTAACTAGTTCAAAAAAGTTACCAGAACTTGCAGCATTATTATTGCTAAAAGGGTTTGCAATAGAAATAATGGATGGTGATGGCTTAAACGTTCCAGTAAACTGGCTCTGTAGTGTGTTTAATGCTCTACAAAAACGCTTTAAAAGTTATTTTGAAATAAATCACGAGCCTAATATATTTGTTTTAACAGTACTTGGAACACAAAGCACTGGTAAATCAACTCTACTAAACACCATGTTTGGTTTAGAATACCCTGTAGGGTCTGGAAGATGTACAAAAGGAGTATTTTTGCAACTTGTTCCTCTTACAATTAAAAATTGCAGCATAGATGCATTGTTTGTGATTGATACTGAAGGGCTAGGTGCTCCTGAGTATTATGGTTCTAACATGCACGATAACGAAATTGCAACATTTGTTTTAGGTATATCTAATTTAACAATTATTAATGTGATGGGAGAATTACCTACTAATGTAGAAAACTTTTTACAAATAAGCACTTGTGCATTGATGAGAATGAATATGGTAGACATACATCCAAGTTGCATTTTTGTTCATCAGAACTGCGGATCATCTTCAAAAGATAAAAACTGTGACAGCCGAGTTGCTTTTTTACAAATGATGGATGAAGCAGTTATTAATCAAGCAAAGTTGAATAACTCCAAAGACCGTTATAAATGTTTTCAAAACATTGTAAATGTTAGTTTTGAAAATTTTTTTTACTTCCCTCAGTTTCTTGATAGTTCGTCTGCAATGGCTACCATGAGCTCTGAATACGTTTCAGCATGTAAAAATCTTAAAGAATTTATAATCGAAAAGTTTCTTCTTAAAAACAAAGTAACTCAAACGTTTGATGATTTCTCCAAAAAGTTGCAACTTATATGGAGCGGAGTTATAGAAGAAAATTTTGTTTTGAGTCTTTTAAATAGTGCTGAAGTCCAAATTAAACACGAGGTTGACAGTGAATTAAGTGATTGGAAGTCAAATATGGAAAAACATTTAAATTCGTGTACGGAAATTTATTGCAATGAAATATCCGCATTTTTTAAAAATAAACAAAATAAAAATGAGAAACTTGAATTTGATGATAATACTGCAAGGAATTTTTTCAAAGAAAAAAAAGAACAGCTAAGAAGCGAAGCGAATCTTATTTACGAAGAAAAAATAAAAGCGTTTGAATGTTATATTAATAAAAAAACTTCAAACAAAACCATCTACAAAACTTGGGAAAAACGAGGAATTAACTCTATGAAAATTGCATTTGATGATTTTAAAATGAGCTGTGAAAATCGAATGTTAAAATGGTATAACCATCATAACTCTAGTCATAAATGGAAGTTAGAACTATTAAAAGCAAAAACAGAGGTAGATGCTAAAGCTCGAGAAGTAGCAAACAATTTGCTGAAAGAAAAAGAATTGTTGAGCAACGGTTCTTTTAAATATTCGAATGAAGAATGCGATGTTGAGTTTGATCGTTTTTGGGAATGCATTGAGAAAAAGTTAACAAGTAAAAAATATTTTAACTTTCAAAAGGTGGATATTGAGGAGCAGTTTAAAAAGGAAATTTTAGAAATCTATGGAAATACTCCAAATTTTAATAAGCATATGACGCATTTTAGCAACAAGGATCCACAAGAGACTTTATTATGTAACTTAAAAAAGACCAATCGTCAACAATTTAAAAAGCGTAGGCAAGATGTAGAAACATTAGTTAATCAGACAAAATCTGCTTTGTTAGAAGATTTTGATTTTGAAATTGTTGATGGTTTAAAAAAATTTAAGATTCAAAAAAGCGAAGATTTTCAATGTGCTATTATAATCAAAGATTGTTTGACTAAAACGAGCTCTTTGCTGAGTAAAATAAATTCTTCTTTAATTGATCCGTTTGATTTATCAGAAGAATTTAAAGCTATTTATTCCTTCTATATTTGTCAAGTTTTAAAACCACTTTTAGAGAAAGCGCAAGATTATTTCTTCGAATATGTTGATGTCAAGCGCAAAATTGTAGAAGGAAAAAAAGATACAAAGACACTATTTTTAATGGTTCTAAAACAGGAAGGAAATCTTGCAATAACAGCTAATCAAATTTTTACAGTTTTGTTGAATGCTATTTTTTCTAATGTCATTAAAAATATTCCGGGAACTATAAAAGAACTTTTTCTTAAACGAGTTTCTCTTAAGGAACACATCCACGGTTTAGTTCTTCTTGATATTATAGATGCTGTCCAAAATAATTCTCTAACAGATTTAAATATAATTTATTTGAAAGATTATTTCCGCAATCCCTTTGACGTATTTGAAAATAAAATACGCGACATTCTGAATGCTTGTCCGAATATCAACGTAAAAAAGATTTTAAAATGGGAGTTAAAACTCCAAATGAATAACACAGAGCTGTGTATTAAAAACATAGTAGCAAAAAAAGAAACTGATTTGATATCACAACTGTGCAAACAACCCCATTTCATAGGATTAGGTATTGGAAAATCAGACTTTTGCAGCATTCAGATGCCAAGTGAAGATAAGAGAGAAAAAGAAGAAAATGATATTTTAAAAAAATTATCACTTGTCATATGTTCATATAATTTTAAATTTGAAAGAATGAATGCGACTGTAAATTTTTTAAAGCACCAGGCTGTTAATGAAATAAAGAATTATTTATTTGGTTGTAAAGTAACGTGTCCATTTTGCAGCGCACCGTGCGATAATGCGCACATCAGCCAGACCCTTCACTCCAGTAAAAGCCATAGGCCGGAAGGTTTTGGCAACTTTATTTGGACAAAATCAAACCAATTTGTTTTAGATATTTGCAATGAGACAATCAAATCATCTGCATCATTTAAAAATGAAGCTACTAACGGTAAGTATGTCAAATATGCAAATTATAAGACAGTTGGAGATGACTATTTCTGTTGGGACATTAAAGGCATGGCATGTGAAGAACTCTCTTTTTGGAAGTATATAACTTATCGTATTATGCCTCACATAAAAATGATTTTTCCTTCTATTGAGAAAGTAGACTTAAAACAGTGGTCAAGTATAATGAAGAAGGAAGCTGTGGAAGCTGTAGTAAAAAGATTTCACATCGAAAATCTTGCTAGATTAGAAAATGATCGTTATGTTATTTAAATGACTTGTATTTGAAAAATTCTTTATAAATTTGAACGAATTTTTTTATAGATGCTCCATTTAAGCATCTGATTACAAACTAATAAATTAAAAATAACTATACAACAATTTAGGTATTCTTTTATACAACTTTTTAATCAAGTTTGCAACTAACACTTTTATTTAGCTCATAAATAGTCTTATAGTCAACCTTCTAACCAATCTTCTAACAAACTTCAAACTAAACACCCTACTAATCTTTTCCCTAATCTTTCAACCAACTCTAACTTACTGTTTAACATCCTACGAGCTAAACTTACAACCAACCTTTTAAGCATTCTTTAGAATAACCCTCCAATCAATTTGAATAAATCTTTAAATGTATTTTTATCGTTCTTTTTGTCAATATTAATTAAGTAAACTTTCAATTAGTTTTTAATCTTTAATATCAAATAAACATTGATTAGTAATTGGTGCGATTGGTGATTGGTGTAGAGCGATTGGTGTAGAGCGATTGATGTAGAGATGTACGAGTTCTATTAAAGGCGTAAATTGTCGTGTGTGTTTTACACAGTACTGGAAATGATCAAAAAAGCTCTGGATATAATATTTATAAACTAGTTTTTTTGGGTTTGGTCGAATAGAGGTTTAGGTCCTATGGATGGAAGTTTATTTGATTATTTGCAGTGTTAGTGTCTATTGGAAAGTATTCCATATATAATTATATATCTTTTACTTATATATTATATAGTTGTATACCTTTTAATTGCAATTTTTTAACGAATTTAAATAAAAGTTTTAAGGAAATAGGTTTTTTATTTTATTTAACTGTATTCTGTTTATATATATATATATATATATATATATATATATATATATATATATATATATATATATATATATATATATATATATATATATATATATATATATATATATATATATATAATATATCAACTTTTATTTTATAAAATTACATATCTTTCCGTAAGTGGAGAAAGATTTTAACTTTTTAGAACTTTTTAGGAACTTTTTAGACTAAGAAATAATAGCGTACTTGAATGCAACTTTTATTAAATTCAATATGTTTCCGTAAAAATCTGATTACCTATGGCCAAACTTCACCCCACCCCCCACCCCCTCCTTCTTTTAATCCAATTGCCCAGACTTACTTAGAAACAACTATTTAAATTTTAGAATGTTTTTTTTTTTTTTTTTAACACACACTAAAAAAAAAGGTAGATATTTCTACTTTAGGGTAAGATATGTGATATACCCTTAGTTAGGTATAATTTTCTACATTTTAAAGTAGAAAATTATATTTAAAAAAATGATTTGCCATACAAATTTCAACGTTAAAGGTAAAATTTTTTACCTTAAGGTAGAAATTTCTACCTTTTTTTTAGTGTGTCATAAAAAACTTGTTTATGAAAACTGAAAAAAAGATAAAAATTTCGTTTTTTTTTTAGCGGCATAAAACATGTCTATAATCCACGCTCTAATTTTATTTTTTAATATATTTTTTAACATAATGAAACAAAATTATTCGATTGAAAAATAAAAATTAAAGTTAAACTTTTTTCAATTACAAAAGAAGTTTTGCCCGAATAATGAATTTAGTAAAACTTGGAAAAACATTTAAGAAAATGCACTGTTTTTATTTAATAATAATAATTTCGAATTATTTTAATTAAAAGTAAACTCCACAGTTATTGCTGAGCTTTATTTTATCTTCGCACGAATCTTAAATATCAATTAAGTTGTCAGTTCTTGATATTTTTCTTTCCATGATCCAAACGATCTTTACTGACGTTTGGGAAAGCTTGCATTTTCGCCAAAACTGCCAAAGTTAATTCAATCACAATTTAGAGCTAAAACTTTATGAACGCAGTTCGATATTTTAGACCATGAGTATTTCTTATTGAAGCTTAAAACTGTTTGTAGAAAATGTGATTAGTTTGCGTGAAATGCTGGAATATTATTTGATGTCAAAGAGTTTTTAGTTTATGTGGGTTTGTAACATATATTAACAGATAATATACTATTAAGATTTAAATGTTAATATGTTTATGTAGGCTTTATTATTAATTTATGAAGTTTGTAAATTAATATAAATTGTCATTAGAATTTGTAAGAGACCAATTCTCATTAAGTTAAGAAAGAAAAACATCTTAATTTTAGTATTGTGTCTATGCGAAAAAACTACAATCAAACCGGGCATGGAATCAAGTATGAAGTTATTCGATATGTTCGAAATGTATGATGAAACTTCAGAATCTGTTGTGTGGATACAAATAACAAAAGCGATTGCTGAAATTGCGAATCAAAAATATAGATCTACAATATCCTATTCTTTTTTGAAAAACTGCTTATTCGGTTTAAAACGCTTTAACCGTCGAAGATAAGCAAAATGCAAATAAAGTTGAGCGCTGTTATCAGCGTTTTCTGAGGATGCTAACAGTGCATATGGGATTTTCATGAAGCAAAAATTATACGACGGAGAGAGAGCTGATGTGTTTTTTTGCTGTATTGCTTTTTTTGCTAACTTGTTAGAAAAGTTAGTGCTTTAGACGTTCTTCGTTAGATTACCCGGAATTTTATTATCGATATTTTAAGCAGACCCAATCAATTTCTTGTTACCCAAAGTAACAGCTGCTTTAAACAGCGTGAAAATAAATGACAGCTATTCTGTTAGCGGTGTCTCAACATCACGCTATAGACTTTTCTTTAGTGTGTTGCAACTGGAGAGGGTTACATTACATTGTAAAGAACTGTTTATTTACAGAAAGCTTGTCTCCAAAGGTGGTGACAAGGAATATGGCTTTGAGATAAAGATGTAGGAAAACGAGTACAGGAGCTAGGAATTTGCGTGACCTCGCTTCTGAACAACACTGGAATTAGTGCATTAACTATTAATTGTTTAAAAGTTAATAGCACTGTAGTAAAAGCAATGGTGGACATGGAATCTTTAAAGACAATAAAAGTTTAAACACGAAAAATACGATAATTTTTTAAGTAAAGATTCATTAATGTATTTGATCCGCGACTGCAACTGCCAAGTTTGATGACATCGAAATACGAAATGAAATTATTTTGGTAGATTTTCAACTGTTTGGAGTTGATATAATGCTTTGAAAAATGAAGAGTCAATTGAAAATGGAGAGATGGAAATGTATCTTATCGACTGTTTATCGAAGTTGCTTAGAACGGGATACCATAATATGCTAAAGTGGAATACGAAGACGAAATTGAGGATTGGATCAAGCGGAAATAGTTACTGAATAATTTATGACAAAAAAGTGTTGGCGCTGCCCAAAGGACCATTTTCTTCAATTTTTGTGATTCAAAGAAATAAAGGTAAAAACCTGAACTGTTTTTAATTAGAAAGAAGCTAACTACTTCATCGAAATGTATTCAAAAGGTCTGGATGATTATGTGTTGATAATTTGAGAAAATGAAGAAGAATAGAAAACAAATCTGTAAACATGGATCGAGGTAAAAATTATCTGCAGTTAAAAACTAAAAAATATCTTTGCTCGTTCCAAACTGTGGTATTTTGCAAGAAAAGCTATTGCTTAACACGACTTGGTTTTGGAATCAAAGAACGATTAAAAATATCTATACCGGAAACAGAAGATTTGAGGATTTTTTTTAAACAATATTAAAAAAGGTAACTCTGCTTCATCTCCTATGTCACTTTCACTTTCTGATTCCATGGACCAATTTTTTGCATAGTTCTCAAGAGCAGAATAGTTGTGCAATATAGAGACAAGTTTATCTGCATTGTCACCTTCAAGATTTATTTTTGTTTTTTTATTTTTGCTTTAGGTGCCCTAAGAACACCTACGGAACACCGCGGAAGAGCATTTAATTAGGAAGTTCACGCCTCCTTCCTTATTTTTTAAGCTCGCTTTGACCCCTGGAACTCTTGCTTTTAAAGCAAGTGCTCTAGCTACTGCGCTACGGCTGCTAATTCATTGTATCTATGGTCAGTGATGGCAACTCTTGCACTCTTTCAGATGATGCAGAGGTTGGTGGAATTGCCAATTTTTTGTGATTTTGCAACACCTGAAGATCACAAAAAGTTGCATCTTACTTCCACCATTCCAAAGTGTCAGTTTTAACTGCATTTTTGTTTTTTGGTATTTTTTCATTTCTAATTTAATAGGTAGATTTCTTTGTGCCTGGTGTGAAGTAGTCTCTTTCTTGTCCTTTGCTAAGATAACATTAAATTTATTTTAAAAATTTTAAATACATATATAATAAAAAAATTTATATTACAATAGCGATAAATCAAAAAAGATAACTTTATATTTATTTTAAATTAAATATAAAGTTATCTTAACAAATGATAAGAAAAAGACTACCTTACATCAGACACACGGAAATCTACCTATAAAATTAGAAATGGAAAAATACAACAGCCCACAACTAAAGAACACTTTGAGAGCTTATCATTATTTGTCTCAAGCTCCAATAGAAATAATGATATTACTATTTCTATTTGGAGCTTGCGCTAAATAATGATATCATCAATTCTATTGGAGCTTGTGCTAAATAATGATATCATTATTTCTATTGGAGCTTGCGCTAAATAATGAAAAATTTTAAAAGTGTTTTTTCCCAGTTGGCACAATAAGTTTTAAATGCGCATTAGAAACTTGTTTAAATACGTATCGTTATGGTATATATGTTAGCCATTGTATTAAACACGCGTTAGTAACACGCCTCAGATGCGTTTAGAAACAAGTAAGCAATACGATGCCTACAGAATATCAAACCCGCATTTAAAACTCTTTAAAATAATTACAGATATTATATAAAACGATGTTTTCTTGGTATTAAATGCGTATTTGAAATATTCCAGAATACGTGTTATTTGCTAATATTTGTTTGTCTTTTTACTAAGTAGAATGCGTACCAGATAAGCGATGATACTCCAACGAAGGTTTCTAGAAATGAGCAGTAAAACATTTGAAACGTCACATACCAGAGTATTGAATCCTTGTAAATGTCAATACTATATCCATTTCCTGAAGAGAATCTGGTATTTTACTACACAAATGAGAATTTATTTTTAACGTTGATATACTTTTATGCTCTTTCTGTAAGTTATTCTGCACGTACTTTCCTTTTTATATTATGTTTATTGTCGCTGTTTGTTATAATACTGTTGTTGTTGTTGTGCTTTATGTATAATAAAATGAGTATTTTTGTATTATTATATTATTTGTTTATTACTTTATTCTCATCGCGACAATGGCAATCAAATTGTTTGGGTTTAACATTTAAATTTTTTTTCTACCTAATCCATTTATTAATGCAAGTTTTTACGTAAACACAAGAAAAAGTTCTGTGGTTTCTTCCCGATGGGAAATCGGCTAGCGAATAGCTAGCTATAATCGTTACGATAAAGACAGCGATTTGACGAAAAGCTATTGATATTTGTAAAGATAAAGACAGCGATTTGGCTACGAGGACAGCTAGCTTAATAGACTAAAGACTCACAGGCTGTTGTAGCTACCGTGATATCGTAATAAAATCGCTATTAAAAAAATTTTGGTATGTAGCTATCAACCAGCTATAGATTTGTAGATATTTTGTAGCAATGTAATAATATTAAGCCATTGTATCAATGCTAATATAAAATTTCCCCAGAAACCGCTTGTTTGTTATAATATTATTTTTATTCCGGGAAATCCCGGAATAACAAAGTTTCACACGGGGAATCCGGGGTGCAAAACTTACGGGAAATGTGAAACCCTAATTTATATAATTTATTACTTTACTTATTATATATATGAATTTTATAGATATACTTTATAGAAATATCTTTTCCAAAAATCAGCACGGGTAATAGCTAATATTTTAAAAAACTTTATTATATTGTGAAATGAAATAATATAATAAATTTTGTTAAATATTAGCTATTACCCGTGCTGATATTCGGCAGAGGTATTTCTATCCTAACTAATTTCTGTTTATACTAATGATATTCTAAAAGAATTTCATTTCAATTCAAATTTAATTTAGATGAAACATTTGAATATTTTTTTTCAGGTGCAAGTTGCATTTCTTCATAAAATGCCGAGAAAGTCTTGTATTTGGGATTTCTTTGAAATGACTGACACTACTCATGCAAAGTATAATGCGTGCGAAAAGGAACTTGCTGCTAAAGCCTACTTCAGGTCTTATTAATCATCTAAAAAGGCAGCACTGCCATGTGTTTTCGGCATATGAGAAACTCAATTATGCTCAACAGATTGGAAAAAAGTCTCGCGTTATTGATGATGACGACTCTTCAGAAACCAATTTCATCAGTACACCCAAATAATCTCGTCTTTTTGCCTCTCCTGAGTTGTACTCTCAATTTTTAACATCATCTGGTAAGTCGAAAAATGCCTAAGTCTCTAAAACTTCCCATGTAGTTAATCCATGGCCCATTTTGAAAATGTAAATATAGTTACATCATTGACTATGTGGATTGTCCACGAACAATTACCTTTTAGGATAGTATATATAATAATATATAATATAAAATATATATTTCGCCATAAAGAAAATATTTACAAAATTAGACTTTAAAAACTGTATATACACGGCTGGGGCAAGAAGAAGACAAATTCAGTCTTATCGCCGAGCCCCTTCAAACAAGAATACAAGTAACAAACAAAACAAAAAACCAAAAAACCAAAAAGAATCCGTTATCACAATATAATATATGCGTAAGGTACATATATAAATACAAATATCTAAATATTTTTCATTAAAATATAATATTTTTTTTTAGTTTTTTTTTTTTTTTTATTAGGATTTCAAATTTTAATAGTAAATAAAAATGATATAAAACATGATAATTTAAGAAGGTAAAGATTTAAATTAAAATCAAAAATTAATATGTTAAAAATAAATTAAATATCAAGTAAAAAACAAGTGATTACTCCTATTTAAAAGTTTCAAAAGAAGTCAAGTTCATTGTCAATTATCAAGAGTTTACTTTTTTTTTTTTTTTAAATTGATCAAGGGAAGAAATTTTTTTAAATAGTGGATATTATATAGTGGATATATATAGTGGATAGTAAATATTTTCATGGAATAATGAAGCAAGCAACGAAGGGAAAGTATAACCCTGTTTCATCAAAATCACTTTCTCAGGACAGAATTCCTTAATATAACTATATAAATTCATCAGTGATCATGTTAACAAAATTATTGACAGTGAGAAGATTGACCTTGACGGTTGTGCCTTTATTACTGATATCTGGACTTCTTGTAATAACCTTGCTTTCCAATCGCTCACTCTACGTTTTATTACAAAACGTTTTCAGCTTAAACGACTTCTTGTTAAACTTGATTCATTTCCGGATGCACATAATGCCAAAAACAATAACTTGATGCATTATATTAGTTTTGTGGGTATTGTAACAAATATTTGTATTAAATTGTGGGTATTGTAATCAATATTTGTATTTGGTTAACAAATATTTTTAGTCTGTGAAGTAACCTTTCATCAGTTGAACGTTTCCTATTTCAAAATTCACTAAACTTGCTTGCTCTTTGTGAGACTATTTCAAATTCAGCTTTTCTTTCTTCAAATCTTAGTGTTGATGAGTACTATCTTTTAATTTGCAAAGACTCTAATTGTCAAATGCTTGGCTTTTGACAATTAGAGTCTATACTTACGCATCAATTCATCTGTTTGTCGAGATATTTGGTTTGAATCTCTTGACCATTTTTGTGCTTCCACTTAGCACCTTTTCACTTCATCACTTTTCCCTCAGTTCATTATTCTCCTTTTTCTCAAAACTGCACTCTTTAGATGTAATTTCTGATCAAATTGATAATGCCTTCTCTTTACCATTCTGCCAATATTATTTTTATTGGTGACCCTAATGCTCATCACACTGAATGGCATTTATTAATTGCTTATGTTTTGTATTTGATTAGTTATCGTCTATATAATATTTTAATTATAATTAAGGTGCAATGACCCATTGGATCTGCTCTTGCAGGAAACCTCCAACCATAGTCATATTGCTTCTCTACTATAAATACTATAATGGGGACTGCTTTAAAGAGCTAGCATTTCTGGTGCCACCTACCATAACCCTTTCTTGTGTTACTTGTTATTCAATCAAGTCTTATATTTTTACTGATACCGTTCCTAAATACAGGACTCGATTTAAGTGATCAGGAATTGCGATATCTAGAAATGCTTCTGGTCTTTAAACTTTAAGCTTTTTAAAACTATAAACTCAATAGCTGTTATTCAATAAAAAGTATTTATACTGACAGCCCTCAAAATTAGGAAAAATTTGCCAACCTCAATGTTTTAGAGGTCAGCATCAGGTTGGAAAAAAGTATTTGATACAAAAAAAAAAGTATTTGATACAAAGGTCTGACCCTAAAACATAGAAAAGAGGTTGGCAATTTTTTTGCCAACCAATAACACTTTCAGGTCAGCAGTTAAGTCAGTAGTGCCGAATACTAATACTAATACAAAGGGTTGTATTAATCTTGAATTATAATATAAAATCTTATTCAAAAAACTATATCATTACTATTATTTTTATTATTATTAGAAAATATGATTTAAACTTTATCATGAAAACCATATATAAAATTAATTGCTACATTAACATTTGTTAAGGTTACTTCTCTTTATTGAGCTTGCCATTATCTTATTCCTGATTCCATTATCTTACTCTTGCTTCCATTCTATACCATTACAAATCTCTTACTCATCCCTGTATAGAACACTGTCATCATATTTAGGGTGGTTCTTCTAATGATGTTCTTTATGTTCTAGAAAAGATTAAAAAATGCATTGTAAACATAGCTGGATCCACTCTGCCTAACTCAAGCCTCTTGCCCATCGTCATAAAGTTGCATCTATTTCTCTTTTCTACAAATACTATTATGGTTGCTGCTTGAATATCATATCTTGCTATTATATTTAATTGCATTACCTAAAACTCATACTTGCTTGACTTACCATTCAGCAAAATCTCATTCCTTTACTGCATTTGTCCCTGCATGCTCTAAAAAATTTTATTTATCTAGTTGCTTTAATAAATAACAATGAAAACAATCTAATTTATACTTTTAATATATCTATATAAAAATTTATTGTTTTTATTAAATTATATAAGAGATTATATGAGTGGTTGACCCGCATATAAACCCGCATATAAGAATGAATAAACACGCATATAAAAATGAATAGACGCGCATATAAGAATGAATAACCCTGTAAATGAGTATTTAGATAAATAATAAATATTAGTTAGTTAAATTTTTATTTATCTAGTTTATCTGCACTTCAACCCATGGAACTTGGAACTATCTCCCTGTTTTCCTGACTCATACAACCTACAACTTCTCAAGCTTTCTGTAAACCATTTCTCTTTAACTCTATTGTTTTTTTAATATTTCTCTTAACTTAATAGTGGTTGGCTGCAACTTTGTTAGGAGTGAATAAGAATTAAAAAAAAAAAAAAGTTTAGTTCTTAGCCTACTTTTGAAATTTATTGGTTCTATTTAAAATAATTTAATATTCAGTGACAACTTTAGAATAAAAAAATAAGAGTAAATTTATAAAGCATCTAATTCATACAAGTAAAATTAAAATGGCAGATAAATAATGATCACCTATATCCAACTGAATCAGGTTTGAAAAAATATGATATTTATTTCTTATAATATCTAATAATACAGTTGTTATAAATACATATGATATACATGTGTTATTTTTATTACTGTTTTTGATGTTTATTGTTATTTTTATTTACAAAAAACTAACATTAATAAATATATAAGGGGAGCTTAAAACCTTATGATATATGCACCTGTTAAATAATTTATTATAATAAATATATTATAATATTATAATAATATATATATATAATAATATTATAATATATAATAAATTTATTATGATAAATATAATAAATAATTTATTATAAAATAAATAATTTATTATAAGATTCTGATTTATATAAAATACTCATCAGCATAAAAATATTTAAGCAATATATAAACTAAAACAACACTCTCTATAAAAAAATTTAAACCAAATTTTGAATAAAGAGTTCATATGCAATAAATAAGCTTGTAATTTAAGTGTATTGTCTAGACAATTTGCTTTAATAATATTTATGGATCAGTCTCGATGGTATCAGATTATTATTGGGTGCTTTTAAAAAAATATCCCTTAAATGGCAATGAAAATGTCAAAAGTAGAATATGACAGTCAATCAAGGTATTCCTGGATTATAGGATTATTTTAGTAATTGTGAGTTACACAGGCAATGATTTGACTTTAAATTAAAAATATTATTTTCTACAGGGGCGGATACAGGCTGTAAAGATAGGGGGGCACAAATGGGGTGGGGTTTAAGGGGAGGGGTATCCCCCTCCCCTTCTGGGGTCTATGATTTTTAATGAAATGCCAATGATTTTTAATGAAATGACAACCCAAAATGGACAGTTTCCAATATAATATCTGAATATCTGACCTGAGAATGGATCGACATAATTATAAATAAAAAATTAATCAAATTTTAGGGGGGAGCACGAGCCGGCTGTGCCCCCCTCTAAATCCGCGCCTGTTCTATAAAAGCCTTCATCTTTAAATAACAAAAATTTAAAAGATCTATCTTTCATTGTTAAATAAATAATTACATTAAACGGAATAAAAATAAATAACATTAAAACACTGCCAATGATTTGTGATATTGTTTTTTTTTTTTAGTGATATTTACAGAAAACCTGTCTTGGAACAACTAAGATGTCATATCACAGCTAAATATGGAACACTTATCAATGAATGTCTGTTCTATCTTATTTTGATGTCTTTGCTAATTTTTTTAAGAAAAGTTAGTTTTTAATGGATTTCTATTTTTAATTATACCACTATCAAATTCAAGTTATTAAAATTGCAATACCTTATACATATGAAAACCTTTAGCTATGTTATGCAATATGTCTTCAAACTTAGCTGGTTTACAATAATTTTTCTAGTTTTAAGCGTAAATTTTTGTTTACATTTTAAAATAATCACGTGACCTTTAATATTTTACAAGTAATAAAATAGCGGTTTGCTTTGCTGATTTAAACATAGTCATTAGAATAAATACTTTTTATGACCATAGTCATAAGAATAACTTGAAAATAAAAAATAAATAAAAATACTTTTTATGACTATGATTTAAATATTGCCTGCTTTAGTTAAAAACGTGTTACATAGTTCAACCTACAAAATCCTGCATCTACAAACTTGATCTACAAAATAAAACATCTACTAAAAAGTGAAAATAATTTTTATATGTTCTACTGAGGCCTAAAATGTTTTCAACCGATTATAGGCCTTTTTTAATTCGACCGATTTATGACGTTTTCTATTTCGACCGATTTTTTTCTCAACCTATTTCACAGACTTTTAATTTCAACCGATTTGCCATAATTTGATTTTCGACCGAATATAGGGAAAATTCATTTCAACCTACTAGTCTGTGTTTTTATCGTTTTTCTCTTGCACTTTTAAGGATTTTTCTATAAAAATCATTGACAATAAATCAAGAATAGGCAAGTTTTTGTTTCAAGAATTTAATCAACAAGAAGCCTGTGTTATATCAACCTATGAAAGCTACTGACCTTTTATTTTATTCTTTTTATGTATTATTTCTACTATTAACTGCCATTTTTATTTAACCTAGATGCATGCAATAACAAAACAACACAAGTTTTTTTGTTTTGTTTATTAATCACCAATAAATATCACTCACCATAAATGCATCAAACATATATATATATATATATATATATATATATATATATATATATATATATATATATATATATATATATATATATATATATATATATATATATATATATATATATATATATATATATATATATATATATATATATATATATATATATATATATATATATATATATATATATATATATATATATATATATATATATATATATATATATATATATATATATATATATATATATATATATATATATATATATATATATATACATATAGTAAGTAACTTATTCAGGGTGACCACTCCACCTAAAAAATCCTAAAATATCTTAGTTTTGAAAAAAAATCCTAAAAAGACCTAGTTTCTCCTAATGTATAGATGATTTTCTCAAATACTCCTAAATTATCCCAATTTATTTGTCTTGATTATAATGCATAAACTATTATAAGCCAAACAATAAAATTAAGACTTAAAGTTAGGGATCGTCCATAAAGTACGTACGCTCGGAGAGGAAGAGGAGGTCTGCAAATGGCGTTTCTGAGATAAGGGGGCAGTAGGTCAATTATAAAAGTATGGTGACACTAAATTTAAAAAAATATCATAAAATGTTGGGTTATTAAGTAAAAGCGTAGGTACTTTTAGGGAGGTAAAGAGTACTCAAAAAAGCGTACGGGAAATTGCGAAGGGGGGAGGGGGGTTAGCGAAAAAAAAGCGTACGTATTTTATGGACAACCCCTTAATACTGTTGTATATTGAGAGAAAATAAGTAACTCAAATTTTTTCAATATTTTTGTATTATTTTAATAACTTGAAAAATTTATTTTGATAAAATTTAAGCTTTTTTTTCTTATTTCTGTGTAAGTTTTGAGCATAAAAATTGTTTTTATTAAAATTTTGATTTGATTAAGTTGACTTAAAATAATTTTGTATTTTCAGAATAGAAAATGTTAGTTAAAGATAAAGCTAAATTTTAAAAGTTAAAATCTCCTAAAATTTATATACTATTTTTCATATTTCCCCGCAAATCTCCTTAAAAACCTTAAAAATCAGGTTTAATAATGATAATAACAGGATGTGGCCATCCTGTTATTATCATTATTATATTATTGTTTTAAAATGTTTTTCAAAATTTTGTTTTTCAAAAATTTGTTTTTCAAAAATTGTTAAAACTAGAAAATTACTGAATAAGAAAATCTGACAATATATATCTTTCAAATTATTTTGTGGTAATTTTCAATTCAATATTCACGTTCTTACTTTTAGTGTGAACTTAATATTGAATTTAACATGTCCTTGTGTGAAAATTGTACGAATCAATTGCTAAATGCAAACAAGGAATAGTATATAATTTAGGTTAAAATTCATTTTTGAATTAACAAACACGGAACTAATTTGGTTGTACATAATTTTCACAATTTTAGTTTGATTGTTTGTTAATAACACTGAGTTTCTGATTGCTTTAATAGTTAGTCTAACTGGATTTTGCGAAGTCACATACTTATATAATAACTTTGGATTTTTTTTAAAATTTTTAACTAACTCTTGTTCAAATAAATTCCTAACCATTAACGAAGTTACCTCTTTTATAATCCATGTTTCTAAATTGGTTGCACATTTTCAAAAATGATAAATTTAAAATTAAGTACGGTTGCACATTTTTAAAAATGATAAATTTAAAATTAACAAATGACCTTTGAATACGTTGCCTAAAATGAATTTTGATTCAAGCTCAATATTGTTATCAAAATGCAATGTTAAAATAAAATCTAATAAAACTATATGAGTTATTTTTGTTTTATTGAAATGTTGGTATAACCACATGTTGTATCAAAAATTGTTTCTTGAAATAGGAACTCAATGCTATTACTACTTGATAAAATTAGCCATTAAACTATTTAATATTTAGGACATTAAAGTCTCTCATTATTCCTTAATGCCAAATGTTCCGATATAAGCCTTAGTAACTTTAAACACATTACGCTGATCTATCTACCATATAATCTAGCCTATATATATACATATATATAGCCTATATATATATATATATATATATATATATATATATATATATATATATATATATAATATATATATATATATATATATATAACTAAATATTTGGATCATACATATTTATTATATCATACAATTGTCTTAACTTGATCAACCTTACGTTAAGTAAAACAAATATCTTCAAGTAAATACTAAGGCTGTACCGGATTTCGGCTCCGGCTCCTGCTCCGGCCCAAATCCGGCCGTTTTTACAAATCCGGCCCAAATCCGGCTCCGGCAAAAATTTAGCAAATCCGGCATAATTTTAGCCGGAGTTTTGAATTTTGTCAAATATTTATTACATTTTTTTTGCCCGTGTTTACATGTATACCTAATACTTTATTTATAAAAATCAATTTTTTTTGTAATTATATATTTTATGAACCTCATATTTGTTTTAGTATTTGTATTTATATTTCTTTATAATTTAATAAGCTTAGTCTAATTTAAACAACAACGCAACAAAAAATTCTGAAGCGAAGACACACGATATTCTACAATGATGCAGGTATAAAAACTATGATGTCAACCCTAATCAAGTGATTGGATGAGCGTTTTAAAAGCATTGAAAATAGAAACCTCTTTATATACTGACGAGGCTGGTTGACTCACAATTTAAAACTAAATTCTCCTCATTAGAGGCAACACTGACAGCTGAAAAAACAAGATTGAAGTCAATCTGAGCATGATGAACAGAAGATTGACAAAAGTGAAGAAAATCCATCAAAATAAGCTGGGCTTAATAATTTTTCTACATCATCATCATCATTAATCTGGCAATTTATTGATAAAATTATTCAGTCTACGTCCGCTGGTGGCAGGGCACATAAACAACAATTACTAAAAGGCATTGAAACTCAGCTAAGGAAATATCCGAAAGAACCAGAAATAAATAGACACAATAATCAACTACAGTGGCGGAGTGACAAAATCCCGAAAAAAAAGTTCAATAGAATTACTATAAACTTTTAAAACATATGGCCTATAGAATTTCTATTAATTTATATATAGAAATTGCTATAAAACATTTTAAATAACAAAAATGAAGTTTAACAGAAAAAAGCAGTCACTTGGTATTCTGAATAGTCCACATTGTTGACCATGCTCAACACCAAGTAGGGATGTACAGGATTTTGGCTCCTGTAGTTTTCTTTTGAAATCAGCTCCGGCTCCGATTCCGGCCGGATCTGTCAGTAGAAATCCGGCAAATCCGGCTCCTGCCGGATTTGAAAAAATTAAATCCGGTTCAGCCCTAGTAAATACAAATTTGTTTCATTGTCTATATATAGACATTGTCTATATATAAACGTTGTCTATATACCAACGCAACTGATTATAATTTTTAAAAATTATAATCAGTTGCGTTGGTATTTGGAAAATCATTAAATGACGTCTCTGTAACCCCAAGTATGTTTGTTTTATTTAAGGAGCTTTAATGTGTAAGAAAAATCATAACAAAAATTATCTCTGAACTCGAGTTTGCCATTTCTTAAAGTAAGATTTAGCTCTTGAGAATAAATCAATTCTTTCGACTGGGTTAATTTAATCTGTCTAACATCACGCATAGTAACAGGTTTTTAATAAGAATTGCAAGCTGTTTTGTTATTTTTTTGTTGCTTCATTAACTTTTTTAACAATAGATAAATCATATAGAATCAAACTAGGTACTCAAAGTAAAACATCCAAAAAAATTAGTTATGAAAATGACCATATTTATTGTAACACTTCTTTAAATTTTTCTATATCTTCAAAAAAAATTGAGATAATTGAGACAACTCAGCTTAATAAAAACAAAACTGTTGGTTATCGAATTCTTGATACTGAAATGTAATTATACAACTATGTTTTAAAAAAATGTTCACAATCAAAAATAAATTTTTCAGAATGTTTTCTCCAAAAAAAAAAAAAAGGATTCAGGTCAATGTGCACTAACTGTAATAAAAAGATTCAATTTTATGCTTCATAGAC